ACATTGCTTATCCCAACAAGTGCCCTCCTCCCTGCCCATCACCTACTTTCCCCTCACCATTACCCCCCATCTACCCTTAGCTTGTTCTCAGTCCGTAAGAGTCTCTTATGGTTTGCCCCCCTCCCTCTCTGTAACTTTTTTTTTCCCCTTCCCCTCCTCCATGGTCTTCTGTTAAGTTTCTCAAGATCCACATAAGATCTGCACTGCAAAGGAAACAACAAAACTAAAAGGCAACCGATGGTATGGGAAAAGATATTTGCAAATGACATATCAGACAAAGGGCTAGTATCCAAAATCTATAAAGAACTCACCAAACTCCACACCTGAAAAATTAACTTTATTTTTAAAATTTACTTATTTACTTTTAAATTTACATCCAAGTTAGTTAGCATATAGTACTATAATTCCTGATTATAATATACTATTTCAGGAATAGATTCCAGTGATTCAATCCTGTATATAACATTCAGTGCTCATCCCAACAAGTGTCCTCCCTAATGCCCCTTACCCATTTAGCCCCCCCCCCCACAACCCCTCCAGTAACCCTCAGTTTGTTCTCTGTATTTAAGAGCCTCTTATGTTTTGTCCTCCTCCTTGTTTTTATATTATTTTTGCTTCCCTTCCCTTATGTTCATCTGTTTTGTATCTTAAATTCCTTATATAAGTGAAGTCATATGATATTTGTCTTTCTCTGGCTAAGTTCGCTTAGCATAATACCCTCAGTTCCATCCATGTAGTTGCAAATGGCAAGATTTCATTCTTTTTGATTGCCAAGTAATACTCCATTGTGTGTGTGTGTGTGTGTGTACACACACACACACACACACACATATATATATGTATATATATACATACATACCACATCTTATTTATCCATTCATCCATCAATGGACATTTGGGATCTTTCCGTACTTTGGCTATTGTCAATAGCACTGCTATAAACATTGGGGTGTATGTGCCCCTTGGAAACAGCACACCTGTATCCCTTGGATAAATACCTAGTGGTGTAATTGCTGGGTTATAGGGTAGTTCTATGTTTAATTTTTTGAGGAATCTCCCTCCATACTGTTTTCCAGAATGGCTGCACCAGTTTACATTCTCACCAGCAGTGCAAAAGAGATCCTCTTTGTCTGTATCCTTGCTAACATCTGTTATTGCCCAAGTTGTTAATTTTAGCCATTCTGACTGGTGTGAGGTGGTATCTCATTGTAGTTTTGATTTTATTTCCCCTGATGATGAGTGATGTTGAGCATTTTTTCATGTGTCTGTTAGCCCTCTGGATGTCTTCTTTGGAAGAGTGTCTATTCATGTCTTCTGCTCATTTCTTCACTGGATTATTTGTTATTTAGGTGTTGAGTTTGATAAATTCTTTATAGATTTTGGATACTAACCCTTTATCTGATATGTCATTTGCAAATATCTTCTCCCATTCTGTCAGTTGCCTTTTAGTTTTGCCAATTGTTTCCTTCCGTGTGTAGAAGCTTTTTATCTTGATGAGGTCCCAATAGTTCGTATTTGCTTTTGTCTCCCTTGACTTGAGAGACGTGTTGAGTAAGAAGTTGCTGTGGCCAAGGTCAAAGAGGTTTTTGCCTGCTTTCTCTTCTAGGATTTTGATGGCTTCCTGTCTTATGTTTAGGTCTTTCATCCATTTTGAGTTTATTTTTGTGTTATGGTGTCAGAAAGTGGTCCACGTTCATTTTTCTGCATTTTGCTGTCCAGTTTTCCCAGCACCATTTGCTGGAGAGACTGTATTCCACTGGATGTTCTTTCCTGCTTTGTCAAAGATTAGTTGGCCATATGTTTGTGGGTCCATTTCTGGGTTCTCTATTCTGTTACATTGATCTATGAGTCTGTTTTTGTGCCAGTACCATACTGTCTTGATGATTACAACTTTGTAATACAGCTTGAAGTCCAGAGTTGTGATGCATCCAGGTTTGGTTTTCTTTTTCAGATTGCTTTGTCTATTCGGGTCTTTTGTGGTTCCATATAAATTTTAGGATTGTTTGTTCTAGCTCTGTGAAGAATTCTGATGTTATTTTGATAAGGATTGCATTGAATATGTAGATTGCTTTGGGTAGTATCAACATTTTAACAATATTTGTTCTTCTAATCCATGAGCATGGAATGTTTTTCCATTTTTTGTGTCTTCTTCAGTTTCTTTCATAGGCTTTCTATAGTTTTCAGTGTATAGATTTTTCACCTCTTTGGTTAGGTTTATTCCTAGGTATTTTATGTTTTTTTGTGTGTGTGTGTGCAATTGTAAATGGGATCGCTTCCTTGATTTCTCTTTCTGTTGCTTCATTATTGATGTATATGAATGCAACCGATTTCTGTGCAGTGATTTTATATCCTGAGACTTTGCTCTTTGCTGAATTCATGGATTTGTTCTAGCAGTTTTATGGTGTAATCTTCTGGGTTTTCCATATAGAGTATTATGTCATCTGTGAAGAGTGAAAGTTTGACTTCCTTCTTGCCAATTTGGCTGCCTTTTATTTCTTTGTGTTGTCTGATTGCTGAGGCTAGGACTTCCACTTATGTTGAATAATAGTGGTGAGAATGGACATCCCTGTCGTGTTCCTGACCTTAGGGGGAAAGTTCTCAGTTTTTCCCCATTGAGGATGATATTAGCAGTGGGTGTTTCATATATGGCTTTTATGATCCTGAGGCATGATCCTTCTATCCCTACATTCTAGAGGGTTTTTATCAAGAAAGGATGCTGTATTTTGTCAAATATTTTCTCTGCATCTATTGAGAGGATCATGTGGTTCATAGTCTTTCTTTTATTGATGTGATGTATCACACTGATTGTTTTGCAGATATTGAACCAGCCTTGCATCCTAGGCATAAATCCCACTTGGTCGTGGTGAATAATTCTTTTAATGTATTTTTGAATCCAGTGGGCTAGTTAGTATCTTGTTGAGGATTTTTGCATCCATGTTCATCAGAGAAATTGGTCTGTAGTTCTCCTTTTTAGTGGGGTCTTTGTCTGGTTTTGGAATCAAGGTAATCCTGGCTTCATAGAATGAGTTTGGAAGTTTTCTTTGCATATCTATTTTTTGGAACAGATTCAAAAGAAGCCATCAATGATACTGTAATAGCAATGTAGCAGGACAGATGGTGGCTGCACTTGTGATGAACATAGCAGAACGTATAAACTTGCCAAATCAGTAAGTTGTACACCCAAAACTAACATTGTGTGACAACTATACTCAAAATAGAAGGATAATCTAATATCACTGAAGGAAAACTGAGCAAAAAAAGTTTCTAGAAGGAGCAAGTTAGTAAAGATGAAGAGAGTTAAAATTGAAAAGTAACAGAATATAGAATGATTTAAAGGATTAAGAGGATTAGAAGGTATCTAAATGATTCCTAGGTTTTTAGCTTGAATAACTAAGTAGATGTCAAAAAGTAACAAAAATAAAATTCAGTCGATGTTGAATTTCTTCTAGAAATGTTTAATTTCTTGTATATTCATAGAACTTTCAAATGGAATTGCATAACCCTGAATACAAGTATCTCCTGATAGAAAAGCATTTATTCACAGTTTATCATACTTATCTGTATCTCCTGATAGTTCAAGGGGGCAGAGGCTATATGTATTGTTCTGTGATGTGAAGCCAATTCTCAGTTCATACAGGATACTAAGTAAACATTGCTACCATGAACTAATGTGTGGCTTAGGAGAAAGTTCTCCCTGGGAAGTTAGATACACATGCATTCTATATCTGTAAGACTCTAGTGTATGCATGGAAACAGTAGGAATATCCTTATAACACTTTGCCCAGAGGATGCATAAGGTTGGAATGAGAAAAGCAAAGGAATGGTGATGGAGCCCTGAGAACACTAATATTTTGGGTGTTACTACAGACAGAATAAGACATGAGGGAAACTGAGAAGGAGTGGTCAGAAATGGTCTTATGAGTTCCAGGAGAACATGCCTCAGAAGCCTTGTTGGAGCGGATGTCCCAAAGGAGGCAGTGATCAATAACATTAAATATTATTGGAGGGCTGAGATATCCAAGCAAAGAAGCGTTTAACGCCAAATTATGCAAGTAGAATGAGATAATTCTATTAGATCTGTAGCCAATCAACAGTTCCAAAAGAAACTTTTCATAAGAGTAATCTAGAGTGATGATTAAAAATGTTCCATCCATGAGGCACCTGGGTGGCTGAGTTGGTTAGGCTTTCTGACTTCGGCTCAGGTCGTGATCTCACGGTTCTTGGTTCGAGCCCCCTGTCTGGCTCTGTGCTGACAGCTCGGAGCCTGGAGCCTGCTTCGGGTTTTGGGTATCCCTCTCTCTCTGCCCTCCCCCACTCGTGATCTCGGTCTCTTAAAAATGAATAAATGTTTAAAAAAAATTTTAAAGTGTTCCATCCGTATTTGCAACCACTTAATTCTGATGTAGTTTGTGCATGGACCATGTATTTAAAAAGTACATGATACATAAACATGAATAAACTTTATCTTTTTAACAGTTGATCAGTGTAAACGAGACTGAATTGTTCATATAACACAGCTTTGTAGCCTCTATGGAATTCAATATAGTTAATACAAAATAAACCAGAAACCATCTCTTGGGATTGAAGTTGTTGGGGAGCTGAGGACCCTCGTGGCGGCCTGAGGAGGGAGGGGCTGCCCAGAGGGAGCGACCCCACCCGGCGTCCCTGCGAGGAGGGGTCGGGGGTCTGTCAGCCAGCCAGCCGGAGGAAGGCTACGGCCCTCCCTTCCGCAGCCACGGCGGCCCGCACGGGTCCTTTTCCCGCGCCGGGCTCCCCGGGACGCCCGAGGGGGAGCGGCGCCTCCCGGGACGGCGGCGCGCGCGCGCCGTCGCCCCCCAGGCGCCCGCGTGGACGCGCACTGGCTGAGTGGCGGGAGCAAAGCGCCCCGCGCCGGCCTCCCGCTGCCTTCCCGCGGGCGGCGCGGAGCCTGCGCCTGGGCCTGTGTGGTTAGTCTGGTAGCCGAAGCGCGCGCGGAAAGCCGGGTTTAGGAGCGAACTTACGTGGCGCTGGCGCTGCGGTCAGGGGACAAGTTCTCAGCAGCTCTCGCTCGCCCCTCGCGCGCGCGCGCCGCCAGCGTCTGGCTCCTCAGGAACCCGCCGGTTTCCCGGGATGCCTTGGGGCTGGTTTCCTTGAATGGGCTTGGGGTGGGGGTGGGGGTTGTAATATATACTTACTCATTTCTTATTTTTTCTCTCTTCTCACGCTTACCTTAAAAAGTACGCTTGTAGTTAACGTGAGTATTGTTTTCATAATAAAATATATATATGCACATGCGTGTATAAAACACCTAGTATTAACAGTCCAGAGGTAATCACTATGATTTTGTTGCATGTTTTTCTTGAATTTTACTCTACGTGTTCAAATGAGTTTTGGTATCGTGAAGCTTATATAATTTCGGGTTCTGCTTTAAAGAAAATAACGAATAAGAACTCTAAATATTTAAAACGAGCAAAGGAATCATAAGCAACTTTTTTTTTTTTAAGCTGACAAATGCTACAAACATTTTATCTTCGTTTCCAGTTTTTAGTTCTGTTAGGGTGCTTCCTTCCTGTCATATTTGAATTTCAGTTTGAGCAATAATTCTGGCATATAAAGTTGAGGCATACAGGTGAACTATTTGAATGCATCTTAAAATTGTATTCCCTTATACTGAGCAACAGAACAGGAACTGAAATTAGTCTTTCACGACATTATGTTGTCTTCTGGATGGATATAGGTAGGAGCTGTTTTAATAGACCCATGTGGTCTCTGGTTCGTCTGCTGCTTTTTTATGTCCAGAATGTTCTGAGTGAATTGAGAAGATACTAAGGATTTTACCCAATTTCACCAGTATATTTTTGTGAAATTGACTGACAATAATGAGGTAGAAACTAAGTACCAACATTTAGATATTAGAGATTCACTTTCATAGCTTTTTAAAGTTCCTAATGTGACAAACTTGTATCATAACAGTGTAACCTACCATATAAAAAGAATTTCAATATGAAATTTCATATTGTTTTAAAATCTCTTTTTCTTTGATGTATTATGTAATGCTATTAATCACATTCTTATTGGAAAGTTGACCTCAATGAGCCTGTATACCGTACTTCCTCATATTAAATATTAAAGTGTACTCTTCTTAGGTAGTATCATGGTGAAAGTAAATTCTTATTTTTTTCAGTGGTCTTTATTTGGGATTATTCAAATTGGGCAATGAGTTTTTGTTTTTTTTTTTCCTTCTGCAACGCTCCAGGGCACATTTTACTAATGCGTGTAACCCAATATGGAACTCATTATTAATGGATATTTAAAAACGACCAAAGCAGAGTTCTTACTCTTGGTAAAACCATACCTTGAAGGGGCAGATACTGTAAATCAAATAAGTGATCAGTGCTAATATGTTACAAATGAAACATTTGAGTCTTTTTCAGAGCAACAATTAATTGTACTTGGAAAAATTGTATGTAGATGGCTTCACAAGAAGGTACCATTTCTGCTGGATCTTGGAGGACGACTCTGATTTCATCAAACAGAGATTGGAGAGCAAAGGAAGGGAATGAGCAAATATGTAAAGCTAGTGAGTAAATGCTAGGAATCAGCCGGAGTCTATTGTAGCCAGCGGGCTCTTTGAGGTTGAGGTTGAAAGATCAATTGCTGGGGTGCCTGGGTGGCTCAGTCAGTTAAATATTCAACTTTGGCTCAGGTCATGATCTCACGGTTCATGAGTTCCAGCCCCATGTTGGGTTCTGTGCTGACAGAGCCTGGAGCTCGTTTCCGATTCCGTGTCTCCCTCTCTCTCTACTCCTCCCCCGCTTTGCGCGCTCTGTCAAAAATAAGTAAACATTAAAAAAATTAAAAAAAATATCAATTGCTACCTGGATCATACACTTTATTCCAGGGAAGGTAGTCTTTGAAGATTGTTAGACACGTTCAGAGCTGTGCTTGAGTTCCATCACCCTGATGGGAGAAGAGGGAGGGGGAATAGAGAGGGGACACCGGAGAGAGAGCTTATTCAGGAGGCTTTGGTACAGCTTAGGAAGCATTTTCTGGTCCTTCTACTCAGCAATACCAAGACAAACCTTCCTCTATGCCCTAGGATTCCACTTCTGAGTTTATTATGCAAGGGAGTTTTATACCTGTGTTCAACAAATCTTTACTATTTCATAAAAAATAAACCTGAAAATCCATATACTTATTGATAGTAGAATGAATAAATTATCTTCGTACAGCTCAACGTTTGCAGCTTACAATTCACACGATGAACTAGAAGACTTTTACAAATAGCTTATTGAACAAATGAAGCAAGATACAATACATACAATGTAATTCTAGTTATGTGAAGCCTGAAAGTAGGCCAAAGTAAATAATGTTATTTAGGGCTCAGATGTACATGATCAGATCCTAGAAAGGGATTGTGAAATGTGTGATGTTAGTTGGCCCTTAGCAGGGTTGTCAGAAGTTGAAATGTGTGCCTTTAGAATTTTAGAAATGTTCAATTTCTATACCTAGTGGTAATTTAGGTATTTGTTTTAAAATTATATTTATATTGTATATTTTACATTTATGTTCTGTGCACTCTTACGTATGTGTCATATTTCAAAATCTTCAAAAACGGGGATGCCATTTGTCAAAATATTGCTTTGAAAAGGAGCAAAAGATTGTGTTGTGATTGAAGTACGGGTCAAGAGAGGATTTCTTTTTTCCTGCCCCTTTTCCTTTTTATCTTCCCCACTATTTTTACCCTAAGTTAAAAATATTCAGTGTTGAGGAGAAGACTTCTGTTTCCAGAAAGATAAAGGAGAAATGCTTTCCCTATTCCCCCCACTAATTACCACTAACTGTCCTGGATATTGTTGGCATAACAAACCTTAGAAGATTCTGGAAGGGGAGGAGAAGGCAAATTAGCTGTGTACCAGTTTTAGTGCTGGAAAAGCTGATAACCCATAAATATCAGTAGGCTCCCAAACAAAAAACCTCAGCAAAGCACATTTTCTTTAGCCAGAGGCCTACAAAAGAGGCAACTTGGCAAGACAAAGAAAATTCTAGACAAAGCACTTTGTTCCAGCCCAACAGCACAGTAAAATCTGTGGACCAACCTCCAGACTCCCATACAGCAAGGAAAGGCCTAGACTTCTGCCTCACCTAGGAGTAAAGAGGTACCGTTATCCACTGCCTAAATGGTGTCAGAAAATCCACTAGGAATGTAGACTCTCATTCTTTTTTTTTTTTTTAAGTTTCTATTTATACTGAAAGAGAGAGAGAGAGAGAGAGAGAGAGTAGAGGGTGGAGGGAGTCAGAGAGAGAATCCCAAGCTCAAACTTACAAACAGTGAGATCATGACCTGTGGAATGCCTAACCAACCCTGCCACCCAGGCTCCCCTAGGCTCTCATTCTTTTTGTGTGATCATGAGGCACCCTTCCCCCTTCTCACTGGGTGGTGTCAGAGAAGGTATAGTGGACAGGCAAGACTTTCAGGAGTAAGGGGGCCACCTAACTGTGAGTAACAGCAGAGGCCATATTGGAAGCAGTAATGAGAACTCCTGCTGTCCTCAGCCAAGGTTTCATCAGCAGCAGCCTTAAGGGAAATGAATGGCAGACCACTAAAATGAAAATTTAGGAAGATTTCCTGTTTGTAGGATGAATGGTTAGAGAACAAAAGTAGCTTCCTTCCAAATATGGTATCACCTATTTGTAAATATGAAAAAGATCTTTTAGGAGCGCCTGGGTGGCGCAGTCGGTTAAGCGTCCGACTTCAGCCAGGTCACGATCTTGCGGTCCGTGAGTTCGAGCCCCGCGTCAGGCTCTGGACTGATGGCTCAGAGCCTGGAGCCTGTTTCCGATTCTGTGTCTCCCTCTCTCTCTGCCCCTCCCCCGTTCATGCTCTGTCTCTCTCTGTCCCAGAAATAAATAAACGTTGAAAAAAAAATTTAATAAAAAATAAAAAATAAAAAAAAAGATCTTTTATGTCACCCTCTGAGAGACACTTGGGTTCCTTGTTCCTTGGTACAGGTTCAGCTGACTGTACCTTTTTTCCTCTTTTACACCTAACTCCTTCTATTCATTTCATGCCACATCGTCGATGGTGACCACAGCTACTACCTGCAGGGACTGCCCAGACTCTTGGTCTTTCCTTCGCTTGCCTTGGCCTCTTTCCCCAAGAACAGATTTAGTGATTTGTAAGTGAGGCCAGTTGGAAAGAACATCTTCACCTTTGGTCTCAAGATCCAAACTGTGAAATTAAAACAGTAACTGTTTGGACTTGACATTGGTTTCCAGGTGGTGAATATTACATGTGAGTAGATTCTTGTAAAATTGCATGTGTCTGTTATACATTTTTAAAACTTTTCAAGGATAGTTCATTTAAGGTTAAGGAAGTTTCAAATTTATGAATTTGGTATCATGTCAGTCAAAATCCACTGTTAAAAGCAATTGACTTGCATTTTGCCTATTTGTCATTATTATAGCTCCAAGGATCTCAAAACCAGCACTTGTGTTGATAAAACAGAATTAATAGATACAGCATAATCTAAGAAAAAGGCTCATACTAGGAAGTGTACAAGGCTCTGAATTCCCTGATCTAGATCCCCTGAGTGCTCTTTGAAGGGTTCAAGGTCTAAGGACATTCTGGAGTCTGGTAGTTAGAGAGGCTTCCCAATATTACTTGAGGTGTGCCAGCCAGAACCTAAACACCAGAGTTAGATCACTAATTGGACCAGCTACTTAGGAAAAAATCCTTCTCCAATATGGGAATCCTTCCCACTGTGGGAGCAATGAGCAAACATGAAGGAGAGTATCAACCCCTTGCAACTGAGGAGAGCTGTTATTGTTACAGTGATGCCACTTTTTGCTGAGGTGGTGTGCCCAGCATGTTTCAGAGAGGTTTGGCAGAATCAGTGTCCGTTCCTTCTTTCCCTCCTCTTTTTCTCCTTCTCTGAAGCCAAACAGCTCCTCCTCTTCATAGGGTGTTATGCACAGCCTTTTGAATCAGAAATGTGTATTTATTACAAAATGTATTCTTCACATTATTTGGCTATTTTGCAGGAGTGTATCATTTGTAAACCGATATATCTACTATGAATAGGCTAAT